TTTCTCAAAATTACATAAAGTCATATTATAACATCGACTGAGATAAAGAATAAAATGAAATATTAAAATCACGATTTATCTCACTGCATTGCGCGAGTACGCTTCTAGTTTTTAATAAAACATGTTTGTTTTATATATTTATAAAATAAAAATACACGAAATTTTTTATATTATAAACCAATAATATATATGAAATAAATATATTATAAAATAAACATATGTTAATTATTACCTTCAAATATACATTCACGTAAAATCTAATCATGTCACAATATTTAAAATAAAATATTTCATCTTTTTTTATAATACATAAAGTTCATTTAATTATTCCATCATAATATTATATAAATATTAAAATGGTAGATTTTATGTTTTTTCTGAAGGGTAATAATTTATTGGGACAAAAATAATAGATTGTATATGGGTTGCATATGAACCGAACGTTTAATGAACCGTTCGACAAAAAGTTCGTTTATTTAATAAATGAACGAACATAAATAATGGTGTCATTTGTTTCTTAATGTTTGTTAACGTTTGTTTATGTTCGTTTATATATACATAGATAAATATTTATATAATATGACATTAACATGTGAAACCGTTATTTTAAGTTAAATTTTTAGGATTCCTTTTTTTGTCCCTGTTTTCGTTCGTTTATGTTCATTTATATTCGTTTAACATCTTAAAGAACGAACATGAACACGGACATACACATTTTTTCTTAAAAGACGAACATGAAAACCACAAGGGTTATAGCATAGTAGTTGAAGTCCTAGGGGATGTGGTGGAATATCTCATCTACCCAGAGTTCGATTTAAGACATACACAACAATTATGACCACTGAGGTTATCAGAATTGATTTTTTGCCGTCACAGTTTGTCAGGATACCTGTAACATTCTTAAAGGCTTGATTAAAACAATAAAACCTATATGTATCAACCATTGTGCAACAAAGACCCAAATAACTCAACCTCATATTTATTCTATTTACACCACAAATTACACATTACAACAACCCACAATTTAAATAAAACAATTCAAAACAGAACATATATGAAAGAAACACAAATGAGAACTATCTTCAACAACATGAGTTTATGAACACAATCAATCTTCTTCACATTACGATCTCTGGCTTCAAGATGCTAGCCTTGATCTCCTTGTGTGGCAGAACCACGCCCCCATTGCTGTAGATCTCATCGCACACATGAACGTCTTCTCCCAGAATCGTCATGTTCTCGACTCGAGCCCACTGGCCGACAGTCGAGTGCCACCCTATGATACTACTCGAGATGCATGCATGTTTCTTGATGCGGACCCCACGCATTATGGTGCACCGCGAGAGTCTCACACCAGACTCAACCACACATCCTGGCCCGATTGCAACATCGGGCCCAATCAAACACCCGTCACCGATCTTGGCATTCTCGTCCACCAGGACGTTACCCATGATGTGGGCTCCACTAGCCAATTTAGATGGTGTTTTCTTTCTTAAAGAGTCTAGGTATAGTCTTAATCCAGAGATGTAATCCTTTGGCTGCCCAATGTCCATCCAGAACCCTGGTAAAACCATTGCAAATAGCTGACCCGCCAATGCGATTTTCGGGAAGATCTCTTTCTCGATCGAAGTGGGCTTGAGCTCAATTCGATCAAGAACAGATGGGTTCAGCAGGTAGATCCCAGCATTAATCTTGTTACCCACAAATATTTTTGGTTTTTCAACAAAGCTATCGACTTTTCCAGTAGATTCTTCCATCACAACCACGCCATATTTTGAAGGCTCGTCAACCTACCACGAAATAATTAAATAAAAAAACACGACTAAACAAGAAAAGGGCTATTTAGCTCGATGACCTTCTCCCTCTAGTGCATTCCTAAGTTTTTAAAGAGCAGGCTGTTTTTAACTAGGATGGGTCATCATTGAGCTAAAAGAAAATTTAAGATGGTCATGCTCCTAACTAAAAACTCATTTAAGGTCGTTATCCAAAGGACCCACAAGAAAACCCCAAGGGAAACTATTTTAGTGAATTTTACCTTAGTCACCATTATTGAAGCTTCACCACCATGGGACTTATGGAATGCAATCATCTCTTTGAGCGGATACTCGCTGATAACATCGCTGTTGAGAACAAAAAATGGCTCGCCAGACTTATCTGCGAGTTTGTCTCTAGCAAGAGCTAGGGGCCCTGCGGTTCCAAGCGGCTCAGTTTCTTGTGAGCATGTGATCTTTATCCCAAGCTTAGTTTCAAAGTCCTTCAAGAAGTTAAGCATGACCTACATAGAATATATGTATTTTTTTTAAATCAAAACTTGATGCAAACATAAGGATGGATCATATAGCACGAAACCCCCCCCCCCCCTCTCAAAATTTACCTCTGGTTGATAATTGATGGCTAGAACCACTTCGGTGACTCCTATAGCCTTAAGAGCTTCAATCTGATACAAAGCAATAAATACAAAAATACTGCTTATATGCAACACAACTGTAAGCTAACTTTGCAGAAATAAGAGGGTCAAGACTACATACCTGGTGCAGGATCATAGGTTTGTTGGCAAAGTCAACAAGCGGCTTTGGGAAGCTGAGAGTCAACGGCCTCAACCGAGTTCCAAATCCTCCAACAAGAATAAGAGCCTTCATGGTGGAGAGATCTGGCTATTGAAGAAACTATCAGAAACACTGGAAAAGAATATGTGATCTAATACACAGCTGTGTAAATTTTCTAAGAATGAAAAAAGATTTGCATTTATGGAACTGTGAGGTGACATTCTGTAGGTCATAAGTGATGATAAAGGTGTCAGAAGATAGAGCGTCGGTGCTTTGACCACAGGGTGTATGCCAAAAATAGAAGCACATTCATCAGATTTAGAGAAAAGAACAGTGAATGAATTGTAAGGATCAAGAATCACACACGATAATAATGGCAGGAAACAAGAAATGTACCAACATCAAGAATCATTATTACAAAAAGTCTTTTTCCACAAACTTTTTAGCAAGCCAGGGATCTTCATGAAAACAGCTTCTCTACTCCTTGAGATAGGAGAAAGTTTTGCATACATCTTATATCTCCAGACCCTAGTCCATGTGGGACTCATTGGCTTTGTTTGCTTTGGTTTGGTTTATACAAAGAGGAAGGTTGACAGCAATTATAAGAAAAAATAGACAGAAAAGGATAGGACAAACAATCTTTCTTCTTAACTGTCAAGAAGAATATTTTTTGGACAAAAAATTTGGGGATCTGTGAAGTCATGCTCCGGTGTACTGTCTAATTCAAGCTTCATATCCATCATTAAAAAACTATTCTTGGTGGTCTAACTAAAGAAGACGACTTACAACTGGACCTGATGTAAAACAACCAAATCTTTTGAAGCGTATCATCACATGAAAAAGATGATTCAGAAAGGAAATAAATCCAAATTACTACAGGCTGGAGCTTACGATGGGTGTGACATAACCATGGAATTCTTTATAGCTTTAGTCCAGCTTTGATGATCTGGTGGCAGACACGTCTAGTGCTCGTACTCATTTTTATTTTCTACATCTTTGACAATTTGGAGAACTTCTATACAGAAACCTGACAGAACTACTTGGATTGGCAATGGCTAGAAGAATCTCTAAACAAATCATATGTAGCTTCAACAAAAATTAAAGAACTTGGCATATTTGTAACAAACAAGATTCTTGCTTCTTACCAAAGGGTCAATGACCAGGTAGCATCCGGGTTACCGGTAGATCCCAACCTCCTTAGAGGTCAAGGGTGCAAGCCTCACCAAATCTGAAGAGTTTGTTTGAGTTTTGCCGTATATAAGTAAATATAAATGTTATATACTTAAAAAAAAAAAAGGTTCCTCACTTCTTATCCTCCATGTACCAAGATTTATTTCTTAGTAGCATCACATTCTAGGTTTGTGTAATAAAGTTGTGACATTTTGACAAGCAATTCAAAAGGGTAAAACTTGATCAATTACAGGTCAAGAAGGTAACTACTACTACTACTAGTGATTTTATTGGCTGCAAGGACAAGGAGGTCATTATGGAAATTCTTCTCCCACACAGGTAAACAAAAAGAAAATCTAATACATAACAAGAAAAAAATAGTTTTCTCGCCAGACTTTACGGTATTACACTTTGTAAATCGAAAAACAAACACAAAATTATAGCAATATAAGAAGTGATATGTAGCTATAAGGAAGAGAATGATGAATATATAAGGTTTCATTGGTTTTATGCACTTCTCTTCTCTTCTATATCATGGGGTTGCCATCTTCACTTGTTCTTGTATCAAATAAATGGATCCTATGATCAAACCATAATCTCTTCCCAGACCGTATAAAGGGGACCATGCAATGAGAATATTGAATGAACAAAACAAAACAGATCTGAGATTTGTAACTAAACGAAAGCATGGCAATGAGGAATTCAACTAGCCACAATCTGACAATACCAATTCTAGTAATAAAAACCTAAGATAACCTTCAGGGGCAACTCAATTGACAAATAAAGACTAGGCCTTGGGGAACCTCCCCATAGGTCATAGTTTGAGTCTCCTCTTGGCCACTGGGGATGTTCCTGATTGTTATCTTCAGAGCCACTTGGGATAAGTTGATGTGCACGCAAATTGGTTCAGACACCCACAGTTACCCATAAAAAGCTCTAAAAGATGCAGTTTGTCAAGCTTTCTTATAGCTCGGACAAAACACATGATGACACTTAAGATTGCATATATAGAATGCATTATAAGTGCATCATGCCTCATGGAACAGTTATGAAGCTCTGTTGTCAGCAAAACTGTTCTATCCATAGAGTTTCACTGGACTGAATCAGCCATTGAAGAAGGTACATCTTGTTATGAAGATCATCATTATCAATGATGATGCTGATGATGAGAAGGCAACATGTTGCTTTGAAGATCCATATAATTTATAAATGCTACTTTACTTACTTGTATGCCAGGCACCTTATACTTAATGGTGGTTTGTTTAAGCTTCTAGTTTTTTCTTGAACTCCAAACATATCATTCTCCATTCTCTTTTGCTAATCAAGTTAATCCAAACCCCAAGTAAACTTCATGGCAGAATGTAAACCAGGCCAATAAATCATTTCAAACCCACTAGAAGCCATCAAGACATATTACTCTATTAGAACTAACGCAATCGTCATCCATTGGAAAAACCAATCTCACAAGAAAGCACATTGGGGGATGACTAATCTTTGGACAGCGTAACAACTTTCGAGTGAGATTTACTGGGTTCATAGTGGTTTGGTTTAGAGTGTGCAACAAGGGTGAGATCAAGATCAAGACCAAGACGTAGATCTGGATCTATTCTTAGCTCAATGAAAGAACTGTCACCAAGTTCAAATCATTACAACTATAATTAGGACAGAGAGTCAGAATGCTGTTCTCTATTTACATCACATAGCAATTCAATGTTAACTTCACAAAACGATACATTATACCAATTTCCCCCATGAACATATGCAACAGCCAACAGATTAATCCAATTAAAACACAAGATCAAAAGCGACCCAAATCTATAAACCCCCAGATCTGTTCCTAAACAAATGAGAAACATATGAACTTCACAACAAAAGCAACTTGACCCATTATAATTCACAATGGCAGAAAGGATCTACAGAAGATAATCATTTGATTAGCAATCATTACCCACATATAATCCTTAATCACTTACCTACATCTTACAATTTCGCCACAAAATCAGACCCACCGACATTTTAACGAACTAAACCTTCATCAAAATCATTGAGAGAAATTCAAGAAAACCGAAGGAGATAAAATTACCTTGGCGACAAGAGAGGTTCAGTTGGGAAGCGAATTGGTCGTCAGGGAGTATCTACATGCATATATTGATACAGAGGGGGTGGAGTGTATCTATATATATAGACACACACATTATATATGCAAAGAGGAAGGGGAAGAGGATTGAGTTGGCGGAAATCCAGAAAATCAAAAGGGAGAATGAGCTGGAAATTTACAGATTTAAGTTATCTTTTTCACCTTCAAACTTCCGATTGAGGCTACGCTTTATCTTTTCTCTCTATTCTAATCAACAACGACAAAATCAACAAATAATCAAAGACTAAAATGTTTTGGTTTGATAGTTTCTCAACTACATATATTTAGAAAAGAATATTAATTATTTTTATTTACTTTTAGTCAAATTAACAAAAGTTATATAATAATAATAAACAAATTACTTCTTTCATTTTATGAAAAAAGTATAATATTTTTGTTATGTTATAAAACATGTGATAAAATAACCTGGAAAAAGTTTACGGGGTTGTTTGTTTACTTCTTAATAGTTTCATTAAGATGCATCATCTGAATCGTTAAGAAGTGAATCTTGTTTGGCAAAAAAAAAAAAGTTTGTCTCTTAATAGTTATAAAACCCTCTGAATGATTTTGTATCATAGGTTTCCCTTAACCATTAAGCGTCCTAATTTCATTGTAAACAATTATCAAATAATTATATTTTATTTTGCACTATATCATAAGAGTCTCTTAATCATTTTGATCACTTAATTATTCTACATTAAACCATTCAGTAACTGTCAAACAACTCTTACCTTTGCAGAACTGGCGTGGAAGCTCCTTCCTTCAATTAGTGTAAAGTTTAGTTTTGGATCTTAACATTTATCATTTCTAAACTTTATAAAACTTGGATTTGGTTTCTCGTGTTTGTCAATTCTCAAACACGAGAATTCCAGTTATTTTTAGTGAATTAACAACTAAAAATAGACAGCGTTAGAAGAAGAGACCAATCACTTACTCTATGCACCAATCACCATGTATGAAACCGGTTTCATCATGCACCCATTCCATAATCATTCACTTACCCCATGCACCAATTTCACCATGTATGAAACCGCTTTCATGAATATTTTTTTTATTCTACTACTGATTTCATGGATTTATTACTCTAATAACTTACGATTTTCATGAATCTTGACAATAATAAATCGAAACACAATATAACAAAATCCAATTTTTAATATTATAATCTAATTAAATATTTAAATGTTACCATTTATAAAATTTCATTTATTATATTGTCTTAATTAAGATTTATTAATAACTTCCATATTTAATAGAAAACAATGCAAATAACCAATATACCGTTAATTATTAAATTTAATTAGAAAAACATGGAATTTTCCTATTGGTCGAAATTAGTTTACACGGTTTTTAAGAATTGCATGGTTTTTATTTGAACGTGCTTCTATCTCGATATATACACAGCTTATTATATATCGATATACACACATTGCGTGACCTAAATCTCCCCAAAGGTGCCTTATTGGTTTCTCCCCTTACCTTCACCGTCACAAACGACTAAACACCAAATACATTTGAACTAGAGTTGTTCAAGGGCGGTACAGTCCGTTAGACTCGACCCGTTAGAAAAGCGGATTGGACAACCATGTTAAAAAATATGAACGGTCTCAGGTGAAATTGTTCAAATTAATGGACAGGATCGAGCAATGATAAAAAAAAGTTTGAACGGGCCCGCCTGAGACTATGTATAACTATAATCATTTAAAAATTTATTTAATTTATTAAAAAAAGTTTAGAAATGATTTTGAGTTAGACTTCAGTACCAACCATCTTCCAAATATATATATTATATGTGAAATCATGGTTTTATTCTATTCATCCTCTTCTTTTTTCGTAAAACCCAAAAATTTCGTGGAATAAATAATTTTTATTTTATTATTATTCTTTTATTTTTTTATTATAATATATATATATATATATATATATATATATAATAAATGACAAATTGCATAAAAAACTAACGTACTTTAACTTGATTCATATTTTGGGTAACGTACTTTCAAAACTTTCATTTTGATACCTAAAATGTAAAGTTTTAAACATTTATGTAACCAGTTGAAGCATTAACCGGTTGCCATGTGGATGTGGCGAGTGATAAGATGAAATTTGGTTGAATAACAAATAATACTGAGTTGGATACCACATCATTTGTGTACATCAGTATGGTGCCTGTTAATGCTTCAACCGGTTACCCGGGTACTTAAATGTTTAAAATTTTACATCTTAGATACCAACATGGAAGTTTTTAAAGTATGCTACTCAAAAAAGAAATCAAGTTAAAATACATTACTTTTTCATGCAATTTGCTCTTAAATAAATAAAGAAATTAAAAGAATTTTGAAAACCGGACTAAAGGTGAAAGAAAAAGTCAAGACATGGGTGAAAATCGTAAATTTCATTAAAGTAAGTGTTAGAAACCCAGATCTGATAGTAGAACGATTTACACTAGAAGATTGAAAGAGTAAGTAAACAAGAAGATTAAACAGAGAAATAGC